GATCACATTAGTTTGAATGTATATAATGGCATTAAGGGTAAATGTGCATTTTTCATGTAAACATCTTGTTTTCTCAAAACATGACATAACCCAGTGTTGGATAGGACAATACTTTTTTTCACCAGTAGGTGGCAGTGTGAGACTGGCTTACCCGATGGACTGCAGCCATCTAGCGTGCTTTGCTGGGTTTTTCTCATAATGGCGGAGAACTCAGCGATGTGAAGCCACGTCTCCCTGCCTAATTATTCCTTTCCTGTATTCCAGGATATATACATCTGCCTACAGGTGTTATATTCTGATACCTGTAACACTGACAAGACTCACTTCAATAGAGACTTAACGGTGCATTAACTAAGATTTTACACACTAACAAATGAAGTGAAAATGGGGCAGGATGTGATGTCTCTCAGCTATATTACCCCCTTCAATGACACTCTGTTATCTACAGTGTGTTTGTTGTTCTTCCAGTTTCTCTACCCTCTGTCAAGAATAAGTCCATACATCAGCCCCACTTGCCATATAGTGAAGGTTATAAGAATCATTTTTGAATCAAACAGCCAACCACGAAGGAGCTGTCTGCTGCTAAAGTCTAAAAGAGTGGCTACCAGAGTAAAGATGTCTTGTTCTTTCCCACAAAGAAAGTGGGACAAAGAGCAGAAACCAGGATTACCATCAGTTTGTGTTTGTTTTTTTTTTGTTTTTTTTTTAAGATAAGTGTTAAAAGCAGGCAAAGGACTCAAATGTCATTCAGAAGTGATGTTCTTCCTTCTGGATGTGTTAGCATCTAAAGCTAATGTGTTTGTTTTGGTAACATTAGCAACCTAGCACGGTCATGATTTTTTTTCCTTTGTACTGAATTAATATGATTTCATTTTTGGGGAGTTATTCAAGCTTTGTGTAAAGTTAGTGCTTCGTTGACACATTAGCAGTAACCAGAGAGTTTTGCTTCATTGATAAATTTACTCATTAGTCAGCTAACTCTAGCTTTAGACTGGAAGCTGCGTTTTGTACAGTTTATTGTAACCAGGCATCTGTAGTTCATGCTGTTGCTAGGAAACAATCCAGTGGGAGGGGCAAATAGCGGTTAGGAGTGGCTTATGTCATCTTGTTTAGAGTCTTATTAGCCCCTCGAGTGGCTCAAAAGACAGAGCACCTTCAAAGATTTTTGCTTTTCCAGGCATCTCTTTTTTTCTGTCCCCCCATTTAGTCTTTAAACCCTGTCCTTTTGTTCCCCCAACAATTTATCTTTGATGCAGTGCTTGCTGTTGGAAAGCTGATTGAGGTGATTTACAAAGGAGAATAAATCACACAGCTATGGGTGTGTGTTGGTGTGCAGTGGATGAAAAACTGCTGAGTGTCAGAGTTTGATTTCTGCTCACCCAGAGTGATGTGCCCTGACTAAAGGTTGGAGATATGGTGCTAATCATACAAGGATATGACAGATAGCCTCCAACCATGAGTGCAGATAACGCCCTGCAGAATATCTTTGTCACCTGAAGCAGTATTGATGGTCCGGACAGCCTCCCTGGCACTGATTCTGTTGTTAGGAGGATAGTCAGGGACAGTGTTTTCGTAGCGCCTCTCTGACATCCGTGGACTCACCCTGGCAGGTAGATGTCTGGGGGAAAAAAAAGTAAACAATAAAATAATCTGAACAATGGTGGAAGGCAGAATCTTCAAGAGACAGAAAAAAAACAGGTGGACAAAGAGGGTGATAACTGAACAAAGGAGATGAGAACCTGTTTCTGTGCATGTGTGTTTGAGAGGCAGACGTATGTTTTAACTACAGAGAATCTGCGCTCGAAACACTGCCTGGTTTCCATTACAAACTGCTGACAGTTTTACACATAATATCATGAGAGACATGTGCAGTAATGAACATGCGAGCGCATGCACACATATGCACACAGTTCCACACTTAGCAGCCTGACACAGTTATACACGAACTGGCTCACCCCAACTGGCCGTGCTGCTCATCAATTGCATCCACAGCACTCTCCACTGAGTTCAGCAGAGACTGGATCTGATTGGCTGATTCCTTTAGCAAGAAACGGGTGACAAACTGCTCCACATTGGTTCCTCTCTCATAAACCTAGGGAAAAAGAAGAACAAAAAAATTATGTGCATGTCACTGAGAACAACTATACTGAAACTAAATAGTCATTCCATCAAACCTTCTAATACCAAAACATCCATATATTTTACTTTAGCTTCTCCTTCAGACTGTTATGTTTGACACTGTGAGAGTTCACTCCTTCCTACAGGAATAAATGCACATCAACCTTCAGAAGTGGTATCAAGTCTCATTTTGTATTCCCCAAATCCAGATAAGACAGTTTTTGCCATAACACATGGCAGAGCGGTAGGGAGAGATGGGGTAAAAAAACAACAACACAAAAACAGGAAGTGACGGTCCAAACCGTGACAAGCTGTAAAGATGCAAATATTTTTGCCTGGGACATGTGTCTTTTTAACACAACATTTTGTATGTGGACATCAAATGCATAAGACCCCCTTTTCAAAGTTCTCATTTTAAACTAGTTAGCTGGAAACATTAACGAGTAAACTAGAAAAATGCATTTCCTGTCAAAAATGCGTGTGGGTGCTGATATGCTGAAGGATCGCCCTGAAAATGCCTGAAATCGGTTGCTGAAACAGCTGAAGGATGAGAAGAAATGTCTGAAGTTCTTTGTTGAAATAGCTGAAGGATGAGATGCAATGCTGAACGACTGAATATTTAGATACCAGAACAGTATTTGTAGCTGAAAGTATGCAGGAGTTAAGCGCCAAAAAAATTTTGAAAAAAGAGCTGAATTTCTTAAAAATATAAAGCTTATTAAAAAATAAATACAAACAGGAATATCCTTAAAACGCTGAACATTTAGATACCACAATGGTGTTTGCAGCTGAAAGTATTCTGAAGTTAAGATGTGAAGATTTTGCCCATTCATTTGAATGGGGTAAAATTTGATGAAAAAAGCAGAATATTTTAAAAAGTATAAATGCCACAAACAAGAAAAATACAAGCAATTTCTGCTTGTATTTTTCTTATTTGTCCTTGAAGAGCTGAACATTTTGATAACTGAATGGTATTTCTAGGTGAAAGAATGCGGGAGGAGTTAGATGCCAAAAAACAGACAGAAAACACAGATATGTCTCAATTGCACTGCATTTAATTGACCATCAGATGGCACTCCAGGACTGTGTCATTGAGCTGCAGCATTAGGATGACTCAGCACTTTGAGCTCCCATTAAATTCTATTATTACAAAAAGCTGAATATCTTAAAAAGTATAAACATTATAAAAAAGATGAATGGCAGGAATGTCCTTGAAGAGCTGAACAGTTTAATACCTTTTATAGCTGAAAGTATGCTGGAGTTATAAAGTGCCAAAAAATGGACAGAAGATCACAGAATAATAATAAATAAAGAACAGGAAAACAGTGTGGATGCTTGTCAGCATCCACACAATTACAGTGTTTCAACCGTCTTAGCTGAGATCAGGCGGGGAGGCGACAGTGGTGTGGTGTGTAGAGCAGTCGTCTCCCAACCAGAAGGTTGAAGGTTCAAATTTTGGTGCCAGCAGTCCACATGTCAAAGTTTCCTTGGGTAAGACACCGAATCCCCCTATTGCCTGTGATGGTGGCACGCAGCGGTCCGGGGCCCTTGGCTCCAGACATAATTTCGTTGTACGTGTCACAATAAAAAAAGCTTCTTCTTCTATTGTACATCTCTGTAGGAACAACTGATCTGTCAGTGACATTGTCATTTCATCTGGAAAAGTCAATAAGATGAACACATGTTCAATCTGCTTTTATTAATATAAACTGCATATGTGGAATGTGAGAAGGGAAAGATTGACAGATATGGCAACGTGACTTATAAGACAAAAAAAAACTAACTCTCCCATGTCACTCAGAGATGCTTAAGTCGAAATAGCTGTCAGAATAACATGTGAAAGACCTCACTATCAAGTGCATGACAATAATCGACTATGAGAGAATGGAGTCAGTCGGTCATGTCAGCTTTACTATCAGAAGTCACAGTACAGTGATTCAGGGAGACAATTAAGACTCCTGTAATCAGCCATCCTCTACTGCACTCTAATCAAAGATAAATGATACCACAAGACCCAGAATCACACAGGCATTGACTTCCACTATCACAGTCAATAGCTTTTACACATGTACACACATCTGCACACAAACATGAAAACACACTGACTTAGAAGATGTTGATTCTCTTCAGCTCGTGTGGAGTAGATCAGTCAGTTTGTCAGAACATAAAACCCACATCTATACAACCAAAATAATTCACTATGATGACAGAATTTAGCTCTGTGGTACCATTTTATCCAAGAGGCACTCACTAAAGGCCACCACGCTGCAATTCAATTACCAATACATTACCAAATAAACTGAAATGATTAGTAGAAATTATAGCTGTTTTCTTGAAGAGATTATGAGCAGTGTTTAATACCATTATTGGCACTTAGCCTTTAAATACGAAAACGTTTATCGGCTGTTGTTACAGCATTCCATTTACTGTAACTGGCATACAAAGCATACTTAGCATTAACATTTATTTGAAATGACACAATTAAACAGAGCTGTCTGTTTTCTTTGGTTAAAGTAAGGCGCCGTCATCCCATTGCACATACAGAAAGCACATACACCTTGGGGCCAGCGCATTGTAGATGTGTAGATTCATGACTAAAACTGTGTGTGCACACTAAGACAGAAATGAGCGTACACTCAGCACTTCTGGTTAGCTAGTGGAGGACCTAATTTACCACCTGGGCCGAATACTCTCTTTTCAGTTCTTTTTTTTTCTTTTCCTTTATTTCTTCCAAGCTTATAAAAGAAAATTATATATACAGTGGGTACGGAAAGTATTCAGACCCCCTTAAATTTTTCACTATTTGTTATATTGCAGCCATATGCTAAAATCATTTAAGTTCATTTTTTTCCTCATTAATGTACACACAGCACCCCATATTGACAGAAAAACACAGAAGTTTTGACATTTTTGCAGATTTATTAAAAAAGAAAAACTGAAATATCACATGGTCATAAGTATTCAGACCCTTTGCTGTGACACTCATATATTTAACTTAGGTGCTGTCCATTTCTTCTGATCATCCCAGAGATGGTTCTACACCTTCATTTGAGTCCAGCTGTGTTTGATTATACTGATTGGACGTGATTAGGAAAAGCCACACACCTGTCTATATAAGACCCTACAGCTCACAGTGCATGTCAGAGCAAATGAGAATCATGAGGTCAAAGGAACTGCCTGAAGAGCTCAGAGACAGAATTGTGGCAAGGCACAGATCTGGCCAAGGTTACAAAAAAATTTCTGCTGCACTTAAGGTTCCTAAGAGCACAGTGGCCTCCATAATCCATAAATGGAAGACGTTTGGGACGACCAGAACCCTTCCTAGAGCTGGCCGTCCGGCCAAACTGAGCTATCGGGGGAGAAGAGCCTTGGTGAGAGAGGTACAGAAGAACCCAAAGATGACTGTGGCTGAACTCCAGAGATGCAGTCGGGAGATGGGAGAAAGTTGTAGAAAGTCAAAGAAAGTCAACCATCACTGCAGCCCTCCACCAGTCGGGGCTTTAGGGCAGAGTGGCCC